TCCAGCCAGCCCCAGCCTGGGTGCAAGGGGAGAGTTACCTACTGGCTACCGTGCCGAGGGGCCCTAAGCCCCGCCCTCCAGGATGCCAGCCTGCCAGGGACATAGAGGCTCAGGCAGGTGGGGCTTAGGTGATGCCCAGCGCTGGCACCTGAGGTTGGGGTCAGGGCTCTAGTCACAGCTGAGACCCAAGTGGAGCCCCTTTGTAAGATGCTGTCAACCTTCCCTTCTAGAGCAGGAGGTCCGGAGGCCAAGTCCCCAACTCTCCAGTGTCACGGGCCCCCATGAGGCATGTGAGACTTTATGGCCAGGCTACTAGGTATGACACGCAGCTGTGGGTTCACAAGGCTGGTTGTGAAATAAGCCTGCAGATCAGAGAGTGGGGGACAGTGGCACACACTGTCTGGACGTGGACCCAAGCAGTCTGGACGTAGAAGCCAGCAAACACAGGAGACTGGGGCACACTGGCCCCCACTTCAGGAAGAGGAACAGTTGGGCAGTATGGATCAAGTGGGGGCTGCACGTCATAACTGAGGCCAAGGAGAGGGTTGAGCGGGACCAGCAGCCATGGGAGAGAGAACCTTCTAGAAATGGATGTGGGCTGGGAGGGCCGAGGGGAATGAGATGGGGAAGGACTGCTGGCCTGGGATTGGAATCCAGCGGGAAGCTAGCCTGGCAGCCGCGCCGCAGGTGTAAACATGAAGTGCTCACTTGGGGGCTTGCTTGGTACATTTTGACTCACTTCATCCTCACGCCAATCCTGCGAGGTAAATACTCTTATTTTTCCCACTCTATGAATGAGAAAACAAAGGAGCAGGAAAACTGAGTTGCGCAGGTCACAGTGATAAGTGGCAAAAGAAACAAATTCTCAACTGGACAACTGCAAATTGCATCCTTACACACAGGGTGACTTCCTGCAGGAAAGTCCCCTCTAGCCCAGATCCACTGTGCTATGGTTTTAGGTCATGAGTTGGGAGCAGCTTTAATCTGGAACTTGATGCTGTGTCTTGCGTTTCAGCAAGAAGGATTCAGACCCCCTGAAAACCCTCCTGGAGATGGATGGATGGGCTGGAAGCAAGAAGGAAGGATTCCAGCAATAAGCCTCTAAGAGGGACGACAGCTACGCAGGGGTGTGGTGTGGATGTACACCAGGGGGCAGGGAGGGGCAAGGCCATGGAAAGTGGTTTACAGGAGAGGAGAGACTCTCATTGTCTCTGGTGGTTCTGACAGCATTTGCCAAATATGAATGTAAGAACTGAAGGAGGGCACATAAGCAAAGTGATTGTCCTACGAGCAGTTGTCATCCCGAAGGTGGCAGAAGTGGGGGAGGCACTGGAACAAAGATGGGAGACAGCCAGCAAAGGGCAGCTGAAATTTCAGAGCCACTGCCAAATGTGATGTAAAAGGTCTTTAAGATGCTCCCTGTCTCTAACAATTCATGCCTTTTTCACCTCCTCCTGGAAGCCTTCCCAGATTGTGTTTAGCTCAGATCCCTTCTTTCCTCTGTTACCCCTTGGCTGTGCCTTGCCAGTGCCTCCATGCCTGTATCATCTACCGAGACAGAGAGAGAGAGAGAGAGAGAGAGAGAGATCTCAGAGGGGGCCCTCTTGTAGTAGGCAGAGATTTGCACACAGCGCAGGTGGGGTTCGGGAGGGTATTGCTGAGGGATGAGGGTCTCAGTCCCAGGACCTCTGAATCAGCACCAAGATTCTCCAGTGCCCATTAAGGAAGAGCTGTCTGAAAGCCCCAAACTCTCTGAGTAGAGGTGAGGAGGTTCAGGCAGTGGCAGCACCCTTATCCCCCACCCCCTGTGAGAGGAGAGGTCAGAAAGGAGAGGGAGGGGACAGAAGCCAGGGCCTGGGCAACACGGAAGCTGAAGCCAGCCTGGGCATGCTAGGGAGAGAAACGGCATCTCCTCCAGCTGACAGCCCTGCGGTGGGCACCGAGCCTGTCCAAGATCATCCCAAACCCTCTGCACTGCAGGGAAGTCTTTCCTCCAGGGCCACGGGGAGGGGAGGTGCAGTACCTCGGGCTGATGGCAGAGGGCAGTGTGTGCACAAGTTACACGAACGCGGCGTTCTTGCTCCTGGTTAGAAGTTAGCGATTGGTGACTACTACATGGGAATGGGTTTCTGTGAGAAGACCCAGTGCCCTCCTTCCTGCACTCAGCCCCTCCCAGCCAGGTCCCTGGGCACAGTCCTGTTGTGGATCAATGGGTCCTGAACCAGTGCACAGCCGGCAAAGAAGGCCCCTGAACACAAGTTAATAATAATTATTATAATAACAACTAATACCGGGCGCCTGGGTGGCTCAGCCGTTAAGCGTCTGCCTTCAGCTCAGGTCATGATCCCAGGGTCCTGGAATCGAGCCCCACATCGGACTCCCTGCTCAGCAGGAAGCCTGCTTCTCCCTCTCCCCCTCGCCCTGCTTGTGTTCCTGCTCTCGCTGTCTCTCTCTGTCAAATAAATAAATAAAATCTTAAAAAAATAAAAATAAAATAGTAACAACTAATATCTATTGGCTATAAACTGTATTCCAGACACTGTAGTACTCCCATTCTCCCTTTCCATATTCTCAACACTCCTCTACGATGAGAACCTTGTCGGTAACGAGGTGTCCTGTCTGGAAGTATGGGCTCTGCAATTGGACTGGGATTCAGCTCCCAACCCTGTCATTTACTAGGTGACCTCGGGTGGTTTATTTTACCCCTCTGAGCCTCAATATTCTCATTAGTGAGATGTGCATTATTATAATTGCACCTTATAACAATAATACCCATCAGATTGCTGGAAGAATTGAGTTGCCAGGCATAAAGTGCTCAGAAGAGTCGGTGGCCTAGAACAGTGCGTGAGCCAGCTTGCATCAACCCTATTTTGCAAGGGCAGGATCTTGTGCTAGGCCACAACTAGCCATCAGAAGAGCCAGGATTGGAGGCCAAGCATATGACACTCAGCCAGTATGCGAGCAGGCGGGCCATTTGCCTGAGACAGTCCTGGCTTATGCCTGTCATCTGAGGATCCAGTTTAGCATGTGTCCAGAACCAGTGTTCCAGTTTATATACACTGCATATACATGGATGTGTATAAAACTCAAATTTATTAACACAAAGGTGTTTCATCACTCACAAGCCAAGTCATCAGGACACATGTATATACCCCAAGCTCCTTCTTCCCAGCCAAGGTGGGCTAGACTAAACCATGCATTCTTGCAGCAAATGCATATTGAATGCAAATGCATATTGAGTGCTGTGAGCCAGACTGGGGAGCTGGGACAAGGGGTTGGGAGGGAGTGAGATGAGGGGACAGATGTGTGTGCCACTACGTCGATACCAGGTAAATAAAGCACCAATGGTAATGCAGATTTGGGACCCGTGCCAGGGGTGTGTGGGGCTGTGAACTTGAGCAGGGCTCTGAACTATCCAGGCCTCTGCTTGCTGGCCTATAAAGTGAGGGACGGGGGAGAACTGTCAGGCCAGCAGCTCTGATGTTTCCTTTCATTTAATGCTCGATAACTTTGCTGAAGTCCACCTGGAGGGACCAGAGAAAGCATGAGCAGGGGAGGTGGCCTTTGAGCCGGGCCACAAAGGATGAGCCGGCTTGCAGTAAATGGGGCCTGGGCACCTGCAAGTGAAAAATCCTATTTGCAAAGGTCCTTGGGCGTGGAAAGCCCTGGCCTGCTGGAAAAAAGAATGGAGGGTGAGGCTAGGGATGCCATGGGAGGAGAAAGTGTCACGGGCACCCGGAATGCCCCCCTCCAATGAGGCTCATCCTCGGAAGGTGGTCTCGCCCTTGAGGATTCTCCTCTTCAGCACCTTGCTCAAGCCAACTATGGGAACGGATTCTGAGAACACAAACACCCTTGCGAAAACCCATGCGCGCCTCAGAGAGAACCCTTCTTCCCGTAATTTCTCTTCAGAGCTGGAATCGCCGCTTGACCACGTGTTATGGATTATCTTCGTTAGTTGCTTATTTTCCCTCTCCCCATGGACTGTAAGTTCTATGAGAGCAACATCTGTGCCTGTTTGTTTACTCTGCTATTCCTAGTGCCTGGATTGGTTCGGTGCGCCACTACTATACACGCACAGCAGACCCGGACGCATCCAGAAGCATATATGCATGCAAGCCTCAGACTTTGGGGTGGAAAAGAATTGGCTGGAAGAAGAAAGCAGGGCCTCTGTGGGGGAGCAGGTTTAAGTGGGTTGGCAGGAGAGCGAGGAGGGTAAGGAAAAAGAGAGACTGACCGCTCTGGAAATAAGAGGCACTTAGTGTGGGGCCATGGGCACTTTGGGGAAGCAAAGGGGGAAGATACCCCGAAGCTCCCATGCCTGCCCATCCCGGCATGCCCGGGCTCCTTGCTCACTGCAATGTGATAATGCCTGCCTCGCACTGTGTGGACTGGCGGCCCAGTGCCCGGGAAGCCCCGAGCCTGCCCAGAGGCATGTCAGTAACAAATCTCAACTGTCCCTACTGGGCCAGAACCGGACGGCAGAGACTCGTGTCCAGCCAGAGACCCAGAGGGAAGCAAGAATTAGATGGAGAAAAGTTAGAGGGGCACTGTGGATGCCAACATCCCGGGCAACACATTCGACACTGAGAATCCCATGGCACCGCTCGTTTATTGCAGGAGAAGCAGAGAATTGGACATGACCCAAAGCAGAAGACAAAGAGAGTCCCTGGGCTGCAAAGGCCCCAGAACGGCATGGGGACAGAGGGGTTCACCCCTGGCCGCAGGGAGACATCCACGTAGGTGTGTGATCTCTGCACTGGGGGCAGTGAGCCAGTGAAAACCGGCCAAGGAGGAGGTCACCGGGAGCACCCCTGAGTGGACTTCCCACCTCACAGCGGGCACCGCCGAGGACCACAAGGCGAGGGGATGGTACGGGGATCATGGCCCACAGAGGAAGGGCCTCCTGGTCTGGACGGGGCGGGGCGGGGGGTGCAGGGGGAGCAGCTGGGCCCTGCCGCTTTCCGCTCACAGAGCCAACCGCCCGCCCCGCCAGCCCTTCACCTCGAGGCCTTCCTGGCTGCACAGCTGCCCCCTGAGCTCCTGGGCAGGGGATCCTTGAACTCGCTGCCACAGCTGCCTTTGGTTTTGCCGTCCACGCCCACAGGCTTGAAGCTGTAACTGCTCGGGGCACCAAAGCCCACGCTGAAGCCAGCCCCTGCTGCCGCCGCGCCAGTGTTGCTGATGATAGCTGCAGGGGGCGAGAGAAGATGCGGGGCTGCGGGCCTTCCTGGGGCATCCTGGACACTCCCTCGATGCCCTCCCCCGTCGGGACAGAGTCCCTCGCTGGGTACTCCCAGTGTCCTCGGAGGTGTTCTGCAGCACGGATCGTTTCTCAAGGATCTGGCCCCGTGTATTTGACCTTTTCCCGTTAGTCTGTGTCCCTCCACCAGCATCAGACTTGGAGCCTTAGCAGGCTCTGCCCGTGAACTTCCCCCACAGGATGGGCCACATGACCAAAGGCCCTTTACGGAGGCCCCTGGTGCTGACCCCACGGAAGGGGCTGCAGGCCTAGCCCCCCCTCTCCTGGAGCAGCACCTCACCTGCACCTGCACCATCTCCACCTTTTCAACCTGCAGAAGGTCGTTAAAGCCCTTCCAGCGCCCCGCCCTCAGTCCCTCCGACCCCCCACCCCCCAGTCCCCCTTACTGCAAGCTGAAGCCTTGGTTTTGGTCTGGCCTCAAGAGAAATACAACATGGCCAGTAAGCCTCATTCTTATAAGAGGCTTTTGGATTATACACTGTTGGGTATCCTTTGATCTTTCTATAGGCTGTACGTTGGTATTTCATGGTATTATTTTTCTCCCATCACTGCTTCTCATCGGTGACTAAAGCCAGCCCTCTCTTGCTGCCCCTAAGTCTCTCCTGAACCCTCTCTAGTGTCATGGAATTGGAGGCTCAGACTTCTGATAGGTGACCACGCACAGAACCCAGGCCTGCAGGTACTCACAGATGCTCACGGAACTGGGATGTTCACCAGACATCCTGGAGAGAGAGAGAGGAAAAGCAGGGAAACCTGTAAAGCAGCCCTGCGTCTCTGCATCTCTGCATCTCTGCATCTCTCCGGGGGCTCACAGAGGTGCCCCTCAGGACGCACACCGTCCACCCCATCCCGGCCTCCCTTCCTCCCACACACCCCAGCGGGACCTCTGCTGGGATGGCTCACTTCTCCATCCCTCAGAGGGGCTCCAGCTGATCCGATGGGTGGGGTCATCGTGGCCCTGCTCACCTCAGTTATGCCAGTGGTCTCACACAATTAAGACGAACAAGTTCACCTGCCCGCTGGGTCCCAGGCTTTGCCAGAGTGACCTGGCACTTAGCTGGCTCCTGGAAGCCATCTTGCCCCTCCCCGCCTCACACCCTTAAGCACGCCGCACAAAGGGCCAGGGAGGCTCTGTTTCTCAAAAGCTGCTGATGTCAATATTTCCTCTCCCGCCTCCTCTTTGAGATTTTTACAACTCAGTCCTTCCTGCGGTCTAACTTTGGTCTTTCCTACTGCACTATGCCAAACCCATTCCCTGTAAGGTTTTACCCAGTAGGACCTGAACAGAACCAAACTGTTTGCCTTCAGTCTTCCTACTAAAGCAGAGAGATAACTGCTTCAGATAAAAGATAATCTGGCCCCGCACCTGCACTCCTCGCCCTCCAGCAGCTTGCGGTAGGTGGCGATCTCCATGTCCAGGGCCAGCTTCGTGCTCATGAGCTCCTGGTACTCGCGCAGCATCCGGGCCAGCTCCTCCTTGGCCTGGTGCAGGGCGGCCTCCAGCTCGTCCAGCTTGGCCCGGGCGTCCTTCAGGGCACAGTCGCCCCGCTGCTCAGCGTCGGCGATGGCCGTCTCCAGGTTGGAGCACTAAGGGGCAAATGCATTCAGTGCTTTGAGTCAGAACAGAGTTCTGAGGTCCTGCTCAGACTACCTCCTCTCATTTGGTCCTGACTGATTGTAAATGCTTTGAGGTCCTCCTAGTTTCTCCACCTCTGGACATCACTAGCGATGAATCTGTCCTTCTTCTAACTCCAGGCACGGTTCACCTCCGCTCGTGCATGGGCACATGAAGATGGCATTTCCCTCCCTTGGGAGAGAGGAGGAAGGGCACCAAGAAGGGAGCCTCCTGGGCATGTGGCCCCTGTCCTCTCCCTCCTGGTCTGTAACACTTGCTGCAAGATTCTAATGCCACCCCCGAAAAGTCTTGGGGTGACTGGCTTAATTATGCCCCACAGTGTAGAGGTTGTCTTGAGAGATCCTGTAAATCGTACACAAAACAAAAACCAAAAAAGAGAGAGAGAGAGAAAGGAGGAGAGTACCAATAAAGTTCCTATTAAGAAAATTTCTGTCCAACAAACCTGCCACACGGAGTCTGGCCTCCAAAATGCCATGGAGAATCATGCTACAGGGCAACACCCTCAAAAGATACTTTTGTGAACAGCAGGTCCCACTAGCTTACAGATACCTGCTGTGAGTTGGGAAGGCAACTTGCAGTACAAAGCTGTGGATGGGGCTCTGTGCCGCATCCAGGAGAAGCTGCCAGGGGCTTCTTGAGTCTTTTAGTCTTCGGGATGTGTTCCCACCACTTGGCCAAGGTCTTGGTGGGTCTTAATATCTGGCCTCTCTTTTCTGGTGTGTCCCCTTCCTCTGGAGTGAAATTTGCTTCACCCCAAGGAGAGCAGCTGATCCCGAGGCCAGATAGAATTCTACACTATTGTCCAGCCGGTGCCACTCCCTCTGCCAGGCAGACCCCTAGCCATGCAAACACCCACAGTGTTTGGGGTGAGTGGCTCACAGCCTCCGTGGAGACACCTAGTACCCAGCTGTCTGGCCACGGAAGACCATGTCCCATCCTAGGGACTGTGGAGGTCTAATCATTCAGGGGGTGGCCAGACACTCGGTGACCTGAATTCTATCAAACTGTGCTCTGCTCCTTTTCACTGATCGAGGTCCTGCAGGGTGAGCCGGGGAGACTCCTGGGTCTTGTGAATGTGGCGTGAGGTGAAAGGGCATGAAATTTGAGCGTCCTTGGAAACCATTATCACGTGGATCCTGGGATCACTGAGAGCCAAGAGAGTCTGCAGGTGAAACCATGAGCTTCTTTGGTGGAAAGGCCAGAGGGCAGGAAAGCACCTTGGCTTGGGGCCCTCAAGAGGAGATGCAATGGGGACCAAGCATTGAGAGTGACCCTCAGTGGCTCCTGGAGGACATCTTCCTTGAAGTCCCTGGTGGCATTCTGATCACAAAGTCACTTTCTGGTAATAAGCTCACCCAACCATGAACACATAGCATTTTATCAGATAAATATTATAATCAGATACTGAGGGCAGCCTCAAACACCTTGTGTTTTTCTTTCATTTATGCAAAACTTGATTAAATGAAAACACCATGAGTTCTTATTTAAGTGGTCTTTTTTTTTCTTTCCACTACCATGAGCCGGGTGCACAGAGGAGAGGATGTGTGTGCATGTGTATGCGTGTACGTGGTGTGTGTGTGTGTGTGTGTGTGTGTGTGTGTGTGCAGGGCAGGGAGGGGCCACTGAAGAAGAGGACGAAGCAACAGGGCCACTTGACTTGTCCGGGAAGCTCAGAGCCTTTGTGCCAGCCTCCACAAACTCTGGGAAACTCATGGGCTTGTTTGCTTCAAGAACACCAGTGTGGCCCACAGTGCACCCAGAGTCATGGGGTCACTCAGTGCCGGGCCACCACGCACCGCACAGCCATGGGGATGGACAGACACAGAGCAGAGCCCTGGGCCAAGCCGAGGGTGGGAAGCTCTCTCTCCTCCCCTCTTCTAAGTTCCACAGCTGGGCTCTCCTTCCTCCAGCACGGATCCATCACGTGAAACCTCCAAACGGCTCCTTTTAACCTACTGCATCGGGTCTAAACTCCACTGCCCCACTTCGAAGGTGCCCCTAACCTGCCCATCCTACACGGTGGTGTCCTGCTGCCTGCCACCCCAGTCATCATGGAACTTCTGCTTAGGGTAGGTGCATCTCCTCCCTGTACACACGCCATGCAGTGCCCACCTTGGACCCCCTGCTCCTGCTGGCTCCCTCACCGGGACCTGTCCCCCTCTCTTTCCCGCCCCACCTCCTACAGGAAGCCTTCACTGGGGTCTTCATTCTGCTCTGGCCACTCGGGACTCCTTAGGGAGCAGGCTGCACAGTGGGTGCAATGTTTAGTCTTTCTATGTGGGTTCAGGCTATTCTCTCCTCATGGATTATACATGCCCTAAAGAGGGGCTATGTCTTGTTCTTGTTCCATATTTAGTCTCATACCTCTGGTGCTCAATAAACCCTGCTAGCTGACTCATTTCATGGAACCCACCTGCTTCTTCACATTCCCTATCTCTGAGCGGATTCTCTGGATCAGGCGGTTGAGCTCTGAGATCTCAGCCTTGGTGAGTTTGAGGTCATCCCCATGCCGGCCCGCGGTGACCTGCAGCTCTTGGATCTGAGGTTGGGGATGAGAGAAGAGCACAGGACAGTTAGGAATTCACCTCATAAGGGTGTTGAATGGAAGGGAGCCAGGGGGTTGACACGCTGTTTTCATTGCCTGAGCAACAAAGGCAGAGGGAGGGGAAAGGGGGGGGAAAGACCACCCTTTCTTTCTGGACTGGAAGGTCCTGACCCAGCTCAACAGGATCCTCAGGCCCACAATGTGAAAGCCTCAGTGGAGTCGGAATTTCCTGTCCTCATTTTGACAAAGCGGGAAACATGAAGAAAAGCCAAGATGGATGGATGGATTACCCACAGAAACGGTGTCAGAGTCTTCCCAGGGTTGTGGCTAGTGTGGCCTCTGCTGTCAGCAAGGGCCACCGCAGGGCAAGGGCTAAGCCCATATATGCCCCCAACACACGCCAAGACTGTGGATGACCTCCCAGCACCACAGGGAGGCATTTCCACAAGGCCCAACTCCAAGACAAAGGAGGTCTCAACCCAGCCTGATACCCCCATATCCACACACATGCGTGCACACACAGCACACACACACGCACGCATGCACGGGGAGAGAGAGGCGGTTGAGGTCACTGGGCCTCCGCACACCTGGCATGCAGCCCACCTTGGTCTGGTAGAGCGCCTCGGCCTCGGCCTTGCTCTTCAGGGCGGTCTCCTCGTACTGGGTGCGGACCTCGTCGATGATGCTGTCCAGGTCCAGGTCCCGGTTGTTGTCCATGGACAGGATGACGGAGGTGTCGCTGATGTGGGACTGCATCTGAGCGATCTCCTGGAGAACAGTTAGGGAGGTGGAGCCCTGGAAAATCCCTCGCTGCCCTTCCGCAGTGTTTGAACTCCACCTTCCGCAGAGCCCACCAGTGCCCGCCGGCAGTGAGGTGAATGCATCGGGCTTTCCGCCCCAGCGTGGGACTGCCCTCTCCGTCCTGCACTCAGGACTGCTTCCATCCCTGCCCCATGCTCGACAGCAACGGCCACCCTTCATCCGTAGAATTAATTCTGAACGCCTCAGGTGGCCTACAGAGCCCTTCCGGAGTCGCTGACCCCCTTCCCTTCTCCAGGCCCCTCATACGTGACCCAGCTCAGACTGCTCGTCCCGCGCCTTCATGCTGCACCTGGGCCATTCTCAGCACCCCCCCAAGATCTTCCTCATCCTCCCCCAGGAACCTTCCCCGGCAGCTCAGGCAGAATTCACTACACCTCCCTCTGTTCTCATCCACAGGTTGTTTTCCCTACCAGACTGTGACGCCCTGGAGGACAGAAGTCAACCCTTCTCCGCCACGGCCTCCTCAAAGCCGACATGGAGCTACCAACCCTTGGTCTACACGCCCATGCAGTCTGAGGGCCAGAAGCCACTCACTGGAGGAGCAGATCACATAGGAGAGCTCAGTGAAATCCTTACCCCTTCATAGAGGCACTTGAAGAATTTGATCTCCTCTGTCAGGGAGTCCACCTTGGCCTGGAGCTCCACCTTGTTCATGTAGGCGGTGTCCACGTCCTGGGGAATCCGGAGAGGAGCTGGCTGCCTCCCCCTGCCCCCCCCCTGCCATAAGGAGCCTTGGGTACCCTGCTCCCACCACTCTCCTCACCCCGTGCTTCCCAGGGAAGTCCACTTGCTGAGAGTAAACCAACCAACGGGCAGGGCAGAGGCCGTGCCAGAAGTGTGCCCAATGTCTGGACTCCAAGCTGGCTGATTCTGGGAGCAGCGTGCCTCCCAGGCAAGGGGACTTAGACAGAGGAGCTGGGAAATTAGAACCCCAGTAACCCCTGCCCAAGGGACTGAGCGACCCACAGCCTACCAACATCACGGTGTCAGGCCCTCGGGGAGCCCTCAAGGCTTCTTCCAGCCCTTCCTGCTCCCCTCTCACCTTCTTGAGCATCACAAACTCATTCTCAGCAGCTGTGCGTCTGTTGATCTCCACCTCGTACCTGTGTGTGGCAAAAGAGAGGAGGTGGCATTGCCATTGGGATAATTCAGTTCTGCAAAGGCTCACTGAGCAGTCAGTGAGCACCTCCGTGCCAAGAGCTGCATGGCAGTGGCCTACGCCCTGGGATTCCGGTACCCCTGGGGTATGCACAGCCTTCCAAAAGGGACTTGACAAGAATAGGTTTAAAGGAATCAATGTGCAGCTCCTTAGTTCCCATGTAACCTACCCTACAATGCATCTGCCCGGGAATGCACCTGTGATGGGCTTCCACATCCCTCCTCCCTTTCACAACTACCCCTCCCTTGTGACAGCAACATTAGTACAGTGCATTAGCCCAGGGTGCAAAACCTCCCAGGCACCAAACAAATACTATCCCCATCTTCAAGTTGTATGTTCTACTTGTTTTTTATATATATTTCTGTTCCAGGTGAAGCAAGGTCTTAGAAACAGGATGTCTGGATAGGGCTGGGATGTTCTTCACGAAGATACATTGTAGACTAAGGAGATGGAGTATTGATCACTTACAGACCTCACTGTTCCATCTCTTATTATTGTCAAGGAATGTATTACAGGACATTTGTGTTGGGAAATGGAAGAGAGCCCTGGAAAGAAATAATTAGTGCTAGCAAATGGCTTTCTTCCGCATCCTTTAATGTGAGCTATCCTTTTCAGCTTCTTACTGCTTCCTAAGGCATGCCACTGGCTGCCAAGGGGAGAAAAGCCTTGTCAGATGACAGTATAGGTTAGTGAAATGGGTTATTTTAAAAACGCAACTGGAACAGTTTCTGAGACTGTCGGATTGTGTTAGTTATACTGGATAGAACACACAGAAAACAGTTGGTATGATTTATCTCAGATTCCAGGTGTGTTATTTAAAAGATAATTGAATACTTCCTTGTATCAAATTATATTATGATAGAGTTGTTTCTATTACAATTATCATTATCTCTAATTATCTCAGAAAAGATTCCATATTCTTCCTCCTCTTAACAAATCAGAGCATATGCTAGTTGCAGACTAGTTTTTAGCCTACCTTTTCTATTTCATAAAACACAGAGAAAAAGTTTGGTCATGATGGCTATCAAATTAATGACATTCATGTGTCATAATTTTTCATTATTTACTTCTAGAGACCGAACACCAGAGCACACATACACACACATTTATAAAGAAAAACAATGCATTTTTAGTACTATTGGCTTTATCAATAACTCATGACTTCCAAAATACATTAGGATGCACAATTAAAAGTTAGACCATAACAAAGTGCATGTTAATTTTTATCTTAGAACATAGATGTATTAAATATATAAAATCTATATCACTTTAATCTTGAATGCTTCCAATAACCTATTGTACAAGATGTCACCTCTAGTTTGTTGCTAGGTGGATTTTATAACAGTTCCTAATTCATTTCCTTATTTCATTTCATCCCACAGCAACCCTATTGAGTAGATGCTATCATTAGCATCTCTCAATTTTATGAGCAAGGCAAAGACTTTTCCAAGGTCACAAAGCTAGTAAAGCTGGGATCCCAAAGACATCAGGGAAACAATGCCTTAGATTTGCCTAGCACTTTGGTTCTTTGAAGAGCTGTTAATACATTACTATCAGCATTACCCTCTCAACAGCTCTTTTAGGTGGCAAGGCAGGTGTCAGTATCTGAATTTTATAAATATTAAAACTGAAGTCCACAGAGGATCAGGAGGCTCACCAACTCAACTGAGTGGTAATTCCAGAATACCTGGCCTTCCAGAGGCAGCACGGCCTCTGGAGGCCTCTGACCTGGACATCTGGGCTGTGCCTGGAAACCCCTCTTTTCTTCCTAGAATTCTGCTCAATTCTCCACTGGGCTGCAATTTCCATCTTAATGCCACTCAATCTCAAGTCACACTGTATTCATTTCACTTCCTGGGGGCTCTCTGAAAGTCATCTTCAAGCCTGTCCCCACAATCTGGGTGCTTTCAGAGGTCAGAGACCATGCCACCTCCTCCCTCAGGACTCCATGCAGGACTCAGGGCAGAGTTCCACTTGGGGGTAGTTCAGAATAGGGGTGGCCAGGCAGATTGAACGTGGAGCAAGAGAAATCGCTCAGCTCTGACCATCTCTCTACCCCCTTGAATTGCGGAAGAAATTATCTTTCCCTAGAAATCCTGGCACGTGGAAACAAACTTCCAAAATATCAGATCACACGGAGCCAGGATGTGTCATACTCTCCTTGCTGGCTCAAACTTGGGAGAAATTATTTCTGGTTCCAAGTACATTTTCAATCATTCTCTTTAATGGTGGGATTCAGTGGCACAGATACACCTCAACATGAAAAACATTTTTAAAACTCTTCTTTGCTTAGCTTTAGGATTTGTTCTGGGGTTGGTGTCATGGCTCACGTTCTAGGTACTCCCATGGAAGACCTCACGCAGGAAGAGCTACAAAGCCATTTGGGTTGTCCATCTGGTTTTGAGACAACTCTCCTGTCCCCATTTCTCCATTTCCAATGTTAAAAGTTGGGCACACCTTTTCCCAGACAATTCAGGGCACCACTCTGGATAAAGCTTTTCTCTTCCTAAGTCTCATCCTGTCTGGATCTCCCTCCCTCCCCTATGGAAAAAGAAATAACTAATGTTATCAGCAAAGGATGGAAAAAGGCAAAAATGCTGACTCTAAATCAAAACCTCATCTGTAATCAAGACCCTCCAGGGGCAGATTCTCTGCCTCTCCACTCACCTCTTCTTATAGTCCTCCACTAAATCCTGCATGTTCCTCAGCTCTGAGTCCAGCCTCACCCTGTCGCCTGTCTGTGTCTCCAGCTGCTTCCGCAGGTTGCTGATGTAGCCCTCGTAAATGGGCTCCAGGTTCTTCCTGCAGTTGTTCAGGTCCAGCTGCTGTAGCAGGTTCCACTTGGTCTCCAGCACCTGGTTCTGCTGCTCCAGGAACCGCACCTGGGATCCGAAGGTGGTCATAGCCCAGAATCCCCATGCTGTTGCCTCTCAACAGTGGGGAGTGGGCCCCAAAAATCAGACACAGTCATCCTGCGGTGGGAGGCAGGAAACAGCAAGCCTCATCAGAGAATGGATTCAGCCAGGGGGACATGCCTATCTGGGTCTCCAAGACAAGAAATAAGATTCAGTCTAAAAGAAATTAAGGAAGTAGGTTTAAGCAATGCTATAAATGCCACCCTGAGTTATCACGTGATGGAGGTAGTTTCTTTTGCCGGAAATGCTGGTGTTTTCAGAGTGAAGGAAGATGGGAAGCAAGGGAGAAACAGTAATGGGGGAATGGCATGGAAAGTCACTCTGGTGGTTAACCTGTCCTCTCTTATGTGCAACCTCCATTGCTCTTGGTTGGTTGGTTTGGTTTTCATTTCAAAGTGGGTTGGTTATCACATCCTTACAAGGTTCCTGCCTCCTTGACCAAAGGTCTCACACGTTTGGACTCAAAAACTTCAAGCCTCTGCTACACACTAGCCTTCCTCTTCTTCCTTTTCTCTGGCTTGAGGGAGAGAAGGGAACATGAGGGGGAAGAACAGATTCTGAAGAGGAAAATGAGCCCTGTCTCCTGGGATAGCAACTCTGTTTCTTCCACGCCTGCCCCCTCGCCTCCAGCTACCTCCCTTCCTCTTCCGGAGCACAGTGTTGAGGCACACAGTTTGCTGTTGCTGTTCTATCAACTTGGGGGCATGTTTCTTAGCCTCCCTCTGTCCTGGTTTCCTCATCTGCAAGGCAGAATGATAACAGAATCGTGGGTCATGTGTTGATGTATGAGAACCCCTTAGGACAGCACCAGGCACTGAGTAATGTCAGCTATTGTCCGGGTTATGTCCCCTATGACTCACGGGTCCAGATCTTCTGCCCCGGCTTGGGTACAGAAGCCTATTCCTTCTCTCCTCTCCATCCTCTGGGTCACTGCCTCTGAGTTACCAGGGACATCTTCCCTTTTAACCCCTGCCTGTCCCCCTCCCCACAGACACAACAAAACGCACACACGGAACTCCCCCACGGGCCCTCCTTCTCCATCTTCTCCCCTCAGCCCCGCCCTTCAATTTTCTGGTCCTTTTCTCTCATCTCCTCTAGAAACCTTCCTGACTTAGACCCCCAGCCCACTTCCTACCTTTTAAGTCCTTCCCCTTCACCAAGCATCATGTCTTGTGATACTCCCTGGTCAGTGTCCCTCTGGTGCTCCTGTCCTGGATATGTGTCCCCATCTCCTTGTCTGATATTGAGAACTCTCAGAGGGCCATTCCACATGTCTCCTCCTTCTGGAGCACCCCTTTCCATCCCAGGGTCTTGTCCCCAAAGGAACACTGAAGCACTGTTCCAGCCCTTTATAAACATCCAATTCATCCTCACATCCTCATGTGGGGTAAAAGCCACTGTTGTGCCCGTCTTACAGATGAGCAAAGGGAAGCTCAGAAAAGATAACCAGCTCGGCCAAGTTCTCGCGCAGCTGTCAGTAGCAGAGCGAGTACCCCTGGGCACCCTGGCCCATTCAGGGCCAAACGGATGCCTGAGGACCCACCTTGTCGATGAAGGAGGCGAATTTGTTGTTCAGCGCCTTGATCTGCTCCCGTTCCTGGGCGCGCACCTTCTGGATCTCAGGGTCCAGCTCCACATTGAGGGGGGCCAGGAGGCTCTTGTTGACCGTGACCTGAGGGATGCCGCCGGGCGGGCACACGGACGGACACGCGGGCCCCAGCCCGGCGCTGCCGAAGACGGTGCCCACGAAGCCGCCCAGCCGGCCGCCGCCGCCGGAGCCCGAGCAGTGGCCCAGCGCGTAGGCGCCGCCCCGCCCGGCAGCGGCGCACAGGGCCAGGCGCCGGCCGCCCCCCAGGCTGAAGAGGCTCCTGCTGCCGAAGGCGGCCGTGCCCTTGACGGCGGCCGTGCCCTTGGAACGGAACGAGGCGGCGCTGGCGCTGACCCGGCCCGAGATGACGGCGGAACAGCCGCTGAAGCCCGGGCGCTCGCCGGCGGGGCGGTGGTGCAGCTGGCGGCTCATGCTGCGGGGACGGGCTGCGGGGCGCGACCGGAGGCGGGATGGGGGTGCAGAGGGCGGCTCTGCTGGCCTGCCTTGCTCGCCCCTAACCCCTTAAATAGCCGGCTGCGCGCAGCCTAATTTGTAGGTCGCGCACGTCTATTAGCCACACGGGGCCTCTCGGGGTCTCCGTTTAGGAAATTATCACCCATCCCTGAGATTTTTGTCTCTCCCACCCCGAACGCCCCATGAATCCCCTATAAAATGGCCCTGAACCCTGCATTTATTTGCTTTGCTTACCTCCTGCATTATAATAATTTGGCTACCTTATCTCCACTTGCTGCCCTCCAATTACTGGGGTTATCAGGGCCAAGAGCTGTGGTAGAAACTTCCAGTGGGTCTGGCTGAGGGTAGGGGGAGACACCCCGATGAGGTGGAGGGGCGTGGTACAGGGGAGCCGATGTCCAGGCCAGTTCTGTTTCCGAAAGACAGGAACGGGATCAAAAATATTCCAGAGAATCATCTTTAGCCTGTGGCTGCTGCTTCCCCAGACTTCTGGATGAGGGCGGCTCTGTCCTGAGTACCGGAAGGAAGTCCCAGAGGGTAGAGACTTCTGGCCTATCTGCAAGGAATTCTCTCAATCTGTTGAAGAAGACCAGACACAGTGACAGAGTTAAGGCCAATGAGAGCCCGGGCGGGGGCGGCGGTGCTGGGGGTGGGGGGTGGGCCGGTGTTCTTTGGGCCAGAGCTAAAAGAGTTCTCCAGAAAAACATTTCTGGAATAAAAGTTAGAGAGATACTAACTGAGAAGAAGGGAAGGGGGCCTGAGGAGATGGTGTAGGAAGATGGTCTTTCATGAGGTTTGAGTTTTTTTCTTTTTCTTTAATTGCAGAAGAGGATCATTCATCCCATCCAAGGAACACCTGATCAGGACATTTGCTGCCCTGGCATTTCTGATTCCGGATCAAGATGTGACTGAGTATTAAGAACAAGTTGAGGGCGCCTGGGTGGCTCAGTTGGTTAAGCGACTGCCTTCGGCTCAGGTCATGATCCTGGAGTCCCGGGATCGAGAACCGCATGGGGCTTTCCTGCTCAGCAGGGAGTCTGCTTCTCCCTCTGACCCTCTTCCCTCTCATGCTTTCTATCTCTCATTCTCTCTCTCTCTCAAATAAATAAATAAAATCTTCAAAAAAAAAAAAAAAAAAGAACAAGTTGAGAAGGGCCAAGGAAGACGCCTCCAACCTGAAAAATCAAGAACTAGATTCTCGAACTTCCTTCCAAATAAGCTCAAGAGTATCTTTTCCGATCTAACCCAATTTCCTTTTCCAACTTAAGTTGGTTTAATTCTCCTCTTCTTTCAGAAGAGCTCCATCCCATACTGCTCTTCTGGTACCCAGGCAGCATTCTATTTCATCACTCTTATTTCTCAGTCTGTCTGAGTCCTGGGTGTGTGTCCCATTTCCACCATCAGATTAATAGGTGCCTGGATTAACCCTTCCCTCCCCTGCTCAGCCCCAGCCTCGGCACTAGGGACATTCAGGATGAGTGTGAAACAGACTAGTGCTTAGAACGAGGCTCATCGCTGTCCCTCAGTTATACCCTAGGGCCTGGGCTCCCCTTGGAGCCCTCCTGGGGTGGCCAGATGGCACCTGGGGGTAATTGAGTGACACAGTCTCCACTGGAACCAATCACAGAGCATAATAACAGCCAAGGTGTTTACCCTACAGGGAACAAGGCTGTGGGGGCACTGGTGAGTGATAGAGATGGCGCCAGCCACAGATGAACAGATAGAAGAGTCTGAAATGTCCTGGGTGGGAAAGAGGGTGGGCTCTCTACGCTGCTTCAGGGGAGACACTGAGGTCCATTCCCTCTGGAGAGGGGAGAGGCAATGTAAGTGAAGCTGGGTGACCAGCGGGCTCCTCAAGAAGCTCAAGGTTATGCTTCCCATTATTTCATGAGATTGCTTCCTACACCCCATAAATTTAGCCAGTTTTTTTTCCCACAAGCACGAGAGAGAGTTTATTAACTCTGGTCATTGAGAAGAGAAAAGTGGGCAAGTATTTAAATTGAAGCAGGAGAAGCTTAGATAGGATTGCCTTTCAAAGAGAGGCTTTGAAGTCTCCTTTTTTCTGGAAAGTTCTTAAGAATTTGCCTCTGGAACCAAGCCACTTCTGCCCAGGGTCAGGGAACAGGGAGGATGACATTTTCTTATCTTCCTGTGAGGGGTTGACTGGCTGGATGAATCAGGAATTCCTGAACCGCCAGGTTCACCTTTCTTACAGATTATGGAGAGACCAAAGTGGCACGTCCAGGTTTCAGAGGCATCGGATGTGTGGGGATGTGGGCAGATCAAAAGGTGGCTGAGGCCTGGGAGGAGGGCTTCTCCTGGCAACTGCTTCTGACAGCAGCTTACTGTGTCATTTTGGGCTCCGTGACTACCTCTGCCATTAGTTCTGGGTGAAAGCAACCCCTGGATTAGGAGACAAAGCTACAAACATCACCCTTTGAAACCAGAACTCAACAACAAAGGATGGACGGATGGCTCCTCTAAGCAAGGATTTGCAAACATGTTGTGCTGAAACTGGCTTTCATTTGCCCTGAACACTGCTTCTTAGGAGATTAATAGGTATCATGCAGGAAAAAATTGTGGCGATGGATTCCCTGTTAGGTTAAAAAAAAAAAAATGAAGCAGGCATCATACTGCAGGACTTTTTAAATCCATCACTTTTGGATCACTTAGGAAAGCTGCACCAAAGGATGCTACAAAACTCAGTGCTTTCCAAAAGACAGTGACTGGGGAGTGAGATTATTAAAAAATAAGGTTTTTTTCTACTTTTTAATATTTCTGAATTTTCTCATATGAGCATATAGTGTTTCTATAGGTGAGTTATTTAAAAAACAACTAGAGAAGCAAGGGGAGGTAGGCTGATTCTAGAATCAGAAATAAAGTGTTGTTCTTGTCAAAAAAAAAAAAAAATCCAGGGTTTCCCAAACCTTTGTTTGACCATAGAGCCCTCTTTTTAGCCAAATATCTTATAAGAACCAGGGTTTCAAGGAATGTGCTTTAAGAGACACAGAACAAGTTCTTTCTATTTCACCATTAGATAGACTAACATTTCCAAAATCCAAACAGATTTACAATATCTCCTTAAAAACATGAAGGTGAACAAAATATAATTACTGTGGTGTACGGCCAGATCTGGCTTATGGCAATGTGCCCAGCGTTACATTGTCAAAGCCAAAGGCAGGTTGTTTGCTCGGACTGGCGCACCTGTGCCAGCACCATCCATCCCAGCACTGCTCAAGGGGAAAGAATTCTTGGGCTGGTGACCGATGCTGGGGATCTACACTGAGGAAGGTTGTGCCAGAGACTTCCAGTGCCTATCAAGCATCCCCACTCTCCTCCTTATTTCCCAACCTCCTCTGAGGATTGGTTGGGACTTGGGGCCATGTCGGCCAGTTAAATGTGAGTGGCATTGATGTGTGTGAGGCAGTGTGGAATGTGATGTGTGGGATGAGGCAGTTAGCAGCCCATGTGTCTCCTTCATCTCTCTTTTCCCATGTCCCAGTAACCTTGAAGGCCATGTGTCCCATGTGGCAGGGCTACGAGCCAGAAGCACGTAGGTCTGTGAGACACCCGCTGGGAGAGCCACATGGGAGAGCTGCCCAGATCCACCGTGGACTGTGAGTGAGAAGTGAACCTCTGTTGTGTCAAGTTAAGCCACTCAGACTTCAGGGTTTGTCCTTTGAGGCCGTCAGTGTTAATATTCTGGATCCAAGCACAGAAGTCGGATGGTAGAAGTATCTCTTAATAGCCAATGCTTTTTCTCTTGAGTTCCTGTTCGTCAAATAATCTGATGGCTATTAAACCTCTATTTCACGTCTCACTTAGGCTTTTTGAAAGAATAGTCTATCCTAGTAATACTAAGAGAGTTAATAGTAACAATGATATAATAGCAACTATCTTGAGCACATACTACACAGCAGGTACTGAATTAAATAATTCGCGTGCATTCTTTTGTTAAATTTAATTCTCATGACAACTTTATGAAGGAACTTCTATTATTAACTTTTTACAGATGAAGAATCTGAGGCTCATGAAGCAGAAGTATTTTGCTGAAGTCGAGAAGTTAGTGAGTGGCAGAGGAAGACTCCAGCCTGGGTCCATCTGACACCCAAGGTGTTGGCTTCTCCCGTGAACACCACAGCATAAAATCCCAGCTCCATAGCAGATTATTTTTTTAAATAGGCTCCACACCCAGCATGGAGCCCAACTCGGGGCTTGAACTTACGACGCTGAGATCAAGACCCTGAGATCAAGACGAGCTGAGGGCACCTGGGTGGCTCAGTCATTAAGCGTCTGCCTTCGGCTCAGGTCATGATCCCAGGGTCCTGGGATCGAGCCCCACATCGGGCTCCCTGCTCAGCGGGGAGCCTGCTTCTCCCTCTGTCTGTCGCTCCCCCTGCTTGTGTTCCCTCTCTCACTGTATCTCTCTCTGTCAAATAAATAAAAAAAATCTTAAAAAAAAAAAAGACGAGCTGAGATCAAGAGTCAGATGCATAACCAACTGGGCATGAATCAGGTTTGCATATCCCTGTATGCCAAACACTAATGCATGCAGACACATGCTAGATATTCAGTAAGTATTCAGCGACCTGACCACAATTTCTTTACTGGCCCTGAGAATATATTCCCTAAGACTAGTTATTCTGCCAGCCAATTCTCCTTTGGGCAATAAATAAACTGGCAAATAGTTTATGAGATGGTGTCCTTAAATTTTGGAGCTTGTGAATTGCTTTACCAGCACTAAACACCTCTTTTTTTTCCCTTACTTTAAATTTTTTATTGTTATGTTAATCACCATACATTATATCATTAGTTTTTGATGTAGTGTTCCATGATTCATTGTTTGTGCATAACACCCAGTGCTCCACGCAGAATGTGCCCTCTTTAATACCCATCACCAGGCTAGCCCATCCCCCCACCCCCCTCCCCTCTAGAACCCTCAGTTTGTTTTTCAGAGC